TCCCTTCCCGAGCCTGGGAGGCTCAGCCCAGTACCGGAAGAGCCACTGAGGATGAGGCCCGCCATCTGCCTCTGAAGAGGGGAATCCCTCCAACCCCAAGCTCCAGTACCAGGTGGCTCCCTCCCTTCGCCGGGGGAGCCCTGGAGACAGGTTAGTGCTTCCTTTCATCCCTCTCTGTCTCTAGGCACTGGTGGATGGAGGGGGCGGACGTGGTGGTCTTGGATCTCATGACTGGGGAGGGCAGGGTGCCACCGTAGGATTCTCTGGGAAAATGTGTTCGGGGGAGGCTCCTGGATTCAAACCCACATCTTTCTGCAGAGGTCCCGAGAAATAGGGTTTCTTAGTGTTTGGGGTCTAAAGAGACGGGATTCATGTGAGGTCCCTAGGAAAGGGAATGTTCCCATGCTGAGGACAAAGGGGTATCCGAAAACGGCAGCATTTTCAGAGCTCTGTGGATACCGGGTGGTCATGATGGACACAGCCCAACCAGACTCCCATACCGGCCTCCGTCCTTGGGCCTTTCCACCTGGGGAGCGGGCCCTTACCGAAATCACGGGGGCCCCTTATGGCCTGGCCTGGGCTAGGACATGCCAGAGTCAGCTTAGCGTCTCGCCAGAGGTGTTCTCTCCAGCCCACTGCTCCCTTGACAAGAAAAGCAGTCTGTTCCCACTTACTCTATCTCATACCAAGAGGCCTCTGCTCCTGACATTCCCATTCCTGGCTGGATGTGTGCCTCTACCCATAAAATCCAGAGGGAAATGGGAATCCCACATGTCCTGAGGCGAGAAGAAAGTTTGCAGGGGAATGCCAGCTCCAGCGCTGCAGTTCTTCCTCGGTGCCGGCCCTGTACCATGGCCCCACACTCCCGCGCGACTCCTGTCCTTCGCTGACAGTTCCTCAGGAAAAATCAGATCCTGATGGAGAGGAGGATTGCCGCTCTGCTTCCATCCAGTCATCCGTCTAAATAGGTTGACCACTGGGGAGATTTGACCTCTGAGGAGTACATTAGAGTTTCCTTCCAGAAAAGTACCTAAGAGTCTCATCTTCTCCCTTCCCGTTTCTTGTTCAGTTCTGGGTCCCTGGAACCTTGTGTTCACGTTTTTCCTCCTTAAGATCGAGAATCATCAAAGTCCAGAATCTTCAGAAAAAGCAGGAGAAAGGGGCCAGGAAATCCTTCTAGCGAAGGCTAGAAGGAGAGCTTTTCAGTAGAACTTTGCCATCCAACCTGAGGTCACCAGCTGGGTGTCTGCTTCCTCCCACTTGGGCTTTCATGTGGGCCCTCTCGCATGGTGGGCCGCCTAGGTTCCTCAGTCCCATCCCCTTGGTCCTGGAAACAGGTTTGTGTGGCTGGGCTGTAGGACAAAGTGCGTATGTGTCTTAAGTCAGGTGGGTGTGGCTCTGTCTCCTTCTGTGTTTTGCGTGGGTTTGTGTGTGGAGGCAGGTGCCTATGTGTGCTTTCCAGACTATACTCCAGTTACCTAAAATTGTCTGTTTCTGGCAGGCTTCTAGGAGCAGGTACCCCCGTGCAAAGACCTGGAGAGGGTGGTGGTAAGGATGTCCAGTTGGGAGGAGGGCTTGTCCTCCCCCCCACCAGTGGGAGCGCTCATAACTGTCTGTGTGACAGTCATCTTGAGTAGCAGGGCAGCCCAATCTTGGGCTGGGACCACTTATTCTAGGACTAGTAAGAGAGCTTCGTGTCTGATACCTCTAATCTCAAAGGATGAGAGGCCATGGCTCCTAACTCCAGAACTCCCTCCTCCACCTTTTCAAAAAGAGATGACTTGCTGTAACAGTAGCCCAGTTCTTACAAAGTACTCCACCAGATGCTGGCGAGCACCTTCTGGAATGACTCGGGGTAAGCTAGATCACAGTCCCTCCAGGTGTTCCACTGGTGCTCTGTTTAACTGGCCCCGCTTGCTCTGAGTTTCCCTAAATCTCTTTGCCTTTGTGTATCAGTTAGAAGCAGGTGGCTAGTGGGTTGGAGTCATTGTATTTAGAGAGTGAGTGCTGTTTTCCAAGCTATGTCTTATGACTATACCTAGTTCTCCTGAAAGATAAGAGATGCTATTTCCCCATTCCTTTGTTCTTGGAGTTTTCCCAATCTTAGCATTAGTCAGTCACTGAGGCGATATTATCTCCAAAGGAAAAGTTTGCGAACCTGACATCCTGAAAACCATTGCCTACTCAGTACGGGCTTTGCAACACTAACCATTGCAGACTTGCTGCTTCCACTGTTACCCCCATGGTCTGTCAGTTTTCTTTTTCTTTTCTCTCCCTCTCTCTTTCTTTTTTTGGCTGGGGAGGTCTCACTCTGTCACCCAGGCTAGAGTGTAGTGGCACAATCATGGCTCACCACAGCGTTGAACTCCTGGGATCCGGGGGTCTTCCCACCTCAGCTTCCCGAATAGCTGGAACTATAGGCACGTGCCACCATGCCCTGCTAATTTAAAAAAATTAAAAATTTTTTGTAGCGATGAGGTCTTGCTGTGTTGCCTAGGATGGTCTTAAACTCCTGGGCTCAAGCAGTCCTCCTGCCTCAGCCTCCCAAAATGCTTTCAGTTGTCAGTTTTCTAAGTGTTCGTTTCTAATATTCTCTTTGTTCCTCATCCAAAAAAAAAAAAAGATACACTTACATAGCACTTACTAAGTGCTTTAAAAATATAGGCCAGGCATGGAGGCTCACACCTGTAGTCCCAGCACTTTGAGAGGCAGAGGTGAAAGGATTGCCTGAGCTTAGGGATTCGAGAACAGCCTGGGCAACTTGGCGAGACCTCTTCTCTACAATAAGTAAAACAATAAGCCGGGCATAGTGGCATGTGCCTGTTGTTCTAGCTACTCGGAAGGCTGAGACGGAAGAATCGCCTGAACCTAGCAGGTTGAGGTTGCGGTGACCGTGAATGTGCCACTGCACTCCAGCCTGGGTGACAGTAAGACTCCGACTCAGAAAAAAAAAGGATATTAGGTCAAGGTAGTCCTCACAACAACCCTCTGTGGGTACAGGTAGCATCTTTATTTTACAGATAAAGAAAGTAAGACTCGGAGAGGTTAAATATCTTGCCTGGGGTTGTGCAGCCAGCAGATAGTGAGGCCAGGATTGAAATGCAGGCGACCTGACTCATGCGGTACATACAGCCGGCTGCAGCCCTCTTAGTTCTGGCATCATTCCGTCCAGGGCAGGAAGCTATCACTCCTTCATACCTGATGTTGACCGTATACCGTGGAGAAAACAGTAACTGGCCTTTCAGAGAAAATGGGAAGAAAATGGCGCCTCTGACTTTGGACCTTCCTCGTTTCATCCAGGATGGGTCTTTTGCTCCGTCAGAATGTCTTTCCGTCTGTTTTTCTCTGCCGCGTTCCAGTACTGTAATCTTCCTTAGATGTCCTGTGGATGTGATGGAGCCTGCCCTTTGGCCGCCTTTCCCGGTTTTCTGTGGGTATTTCCTTTCAGTCTTCCAGTGCGCAGAGAAGAATGCGGCCTGACTCAGGTTCTGCCCAAATGGAGTGGCACGAGGCCCACCCGGATAGAGAGGTCTGGGTAACTAGGTTGGTTAGACTGAGACGTGGAAGTACCTCTTGTTTGCTTTTCTAAGAATAGCCCTGAACATTAGCCTCGTGCCTTTATTTTGGGGCGTGTGGAATGTGTAGCAGCCACGAGTTCATTAAGCTTCATTCACTGCCCTCCAGGGATGAAGCTTTGGCAGGCTTTATGAGTTCATCCGTTTCATTGGAGGGGGGAAACTGAGGCATCAGTACTTCCTCAGGGAGCAGAGGATAGCTAGGGACACTCGGTGAGTCAGTGTCAGGATTGGGAATAGAACCCAGGAACGTCAGCCTCGGAGGTTCTACGCACTGGGCCGCCCTTCACGAATGGGGAAGTGAAGCGGGAAGGAAGTGGGGTGGGTCAAAGGAGATGGTGCTGAAAGGTTGCAAGGATCCGACGACGCTGCAGGCTTCTTGTCCCGGTAAGGCTGGAATATGTTTTGAGTCCCGGGACTGTGTCTGGAGAGCTGACCAAGAGGGTGCTGGAGAAAAGTTAAATTTAACCTCCGTGTCCTAACCTGGTGCCGGGGTAAGGGTAGCGACAGGCCTAGGACAACTTGCAAAAGGCTGAGAGTGTTCCCTTTCGGGAATTCACCGTGATTGGCAGGTGCCAAGTGGGTTTTGTAAGCCTCTGAACACCTTCAATCTGCTCTCGCGCCTCTGGCCAATGCTGGGAGTGTTGTTTCAGTTGGAAGATCCACGGAAGGCCTCAGTGCTCTCAGGGCTCTCCGGATGAGACGTCCTCGGGATCTTCAGCAGGAGATTATGGGGGGGGCGGGGCAGAACTTCTTTACATGCCTCCCCGTCTGGGGAGGGCCCAGGAGAACCCTGGTCATTGAAAACCATGCTGCTGTTCAGCCGGGAGAACCCAGCTGTGGGACGATGATCCTGCCACAGCACCCTGTTCTGGCCCAGAGGCTGGGGTTTTGACTTAGTCGTGCTGGAAGGTGTGAGGCTCCTGGAATGATTCAGTGTCCCTATTAGTTTCCAAGTTTCCGTGGTTTAGGGCAAGCGAGTGGTGGGATGAAAAAGTGGGCAAAGAAGCGAAGGATAGCCGGGTTCAGTGGCTCAGCCTGTAATCCCATGCCTTGGGAGGCTGAGGTGAGTGGATTGCCTGAGCCCGCGTGGGTTCGAGACCCGCCTGGGCAAGTTGGCGAGACCTCATCTCTACAATAAGTCAAAAAGTAGCCGGGCGTGGTAGCGCGCGCCAGTAGTTCCAGCTCCTTTGGAAGGCTGAGGCGGAAGGATCGCTGGAGCCCCGCAGGTCGAGGCTGCGGTGGCCGGGAGCGGCCACTGCACTCCAGTCTGGGCGACAGTGAGACTCCAAATCAAAAAAAGAAAAAAAGAAGCGAAGGATAAAGGGGAAACCTTTCTGGGTGCTGTTTTACACATGGGCCCCTCCACCCCTGTCTTTTTTTTCTTCTGTCATACAATCCTTGGGTTGCAATTGGGTCTCCTGCGGTTCAGGCCCCCGAGGCACTAAGGTGTTTCCTTCGGCCTTGTGGAGTGAGTGTTGGTTAGGAGCACCTGGCTGCGTACCTGTGTGTACCTGCAGATTGTGTGGGTGGGACCCTGGTGGGGGGAGGGGAGGGAGTGAGAATGCGGGAATCACTGCCTAGGCTGGAAGAGAAAGCGAAGAGCCTGCAGGTGTGTTGGGGTCAGGAGAGAGGGAGACACGGTCCTAACTGGGGCTGAGCTTTGAGCTGCAAAGCGTGCAGTTCTGTGCGGACTTGGGTATACCTCTGGCTGTGGATTTAGAGAGCAGTTCCAACATGTGTCTGTCCAGGATGCTGAACTCGAGGCAATCTAGGCCTGGCTTCTCCAGATACCTGCCCTGGTAGGGCCGAGGAAGAAATGCTAGCTGGCATCCAGCGGCTGTGCAGGCACAAACCTGTTTGGCAGCCGGCGCTGGGGGGGTTGCTGGCATCAGCTCTCGGGGAGTGCCAAATGGCTACTTAGTGGCTCCTGCCAGCTTCTCTAGACCCTGCAGTACAGATAGCACCCCGTCGCTCTCCACCTTCCCCCGCCAAGACGTCACTCTAGCTATACCTCTGTGCTGGCAAGAGCGCCCAGGCAGTGTGGGTGGCAGCAGGGCGGGCAGACATCAGGCGTGGGCGGGCTGGCAGCCCCAGGAGTTTGCATGGAGGTGCAGCAAGTGTGCGTGCCTGACTGGGAAGGAGGGAGGGAGGAGGCGGCGGCGAAGGGGAGCCAGCTCTTAGCCCCAGAGTGGCTATTTTTAGCCAGGCTATCTGATTGTTACCAGCCCGCACACAGCTGGGTGTCTCCCTGGCTCAGAGCAGCGCAGCAGGCTGAGAGGTGGGAGGTCCTTGCGGATGACTCCTTCCTGGTGCTGGTGTCTGTGGGCAGGAGCAGGCCAGGGGGAGCTTTAAAGGTGTGAGGGCAGCTGTGTGCCAGATCTGTTACCTCTGTGTGTGACTTTGTGCTCTGTTGGTAACGTAGGCCGTGCGTGGAATCGTGGGCTCCGTGGGTGTGCGCCACGGTTGATGTGTCTGTCTTGTGTCTGTCCTGTGCTGGCTGTCATACATAATTTATACTTGGGATATATCTAATAGGCCTCACGTGCACATGTGTGTGGGCTGGAAAGGGCAAGTGCTCATAATAGATCTCAGATGAAGCAACTTTAGAAGTGACAGCGTGTGCACTGTTGGTGTGTGTTTGTGTTTACGCAGACTGTTTTTCTTAACATGTATGTTCGTGTCATCTCTCTGTGGATGTTGTGTGTAAATATAACACATGTCGTATGGTTGGAGAACGGACTTTGGCTAATTTTGCCTACTATGTAAGAGGAAGGGTTTTTTTTTAAAAAACTTATTCCTACATAGTTTTGAAAACGTGGCAGGGCTTTAAGTAAGGTGAATTGAAGAAATAGCTCAATTTGGTGTAAAGTTTGATATCTTCTCGTCCTACATAAAGAGAAAGGCCTCTTGGCCATGCTGCCCATTAAGAAATAGGGTCAGTACAGCCTTGGCAATGGAGCAAGACCTTGTCTCTACAAAAAGTAAAAAAATTAGCCAGGCACAGTAGCATGCACCTGTAGTTCCAGCTATGTGGGAGGCTGAGGTGGAAGGATTGCCTGAGCCTAGGAGGTCGCGGCTGCGGTGAGCTATGATTGTGCCGCTGCACTCCAGCTTGGGTGACAGAGTAAGACCCTGACTCAAAAAAAAAACAAGAAGCGGGATAAGTAGTCCTTCATCACGATGGATGATGATATGTCCGCTTGGGGGTTCTGGGAACACCTGGTTGAAGCCATCCCCCGGGTCTCCTGTGGGAATTACAGTGGGAAGAAACTCTATTTCCATTAAATGCTAGGATTTGAGTATCACTTGCCCCCAGTGTTTTCCTTTCCCCCCGTCCTCTTCTCTACAGAGCCCAGGAGTACCATGGCATCTGACCTGGAGAGCAGCCTCACCTCCATAGACTGGCTCCCTCAGCTGACCCTCCGTGCTACCATCGAGAAGCTTGGGAGTGCCTCCCAAGCCGGGCCTCCCGGGGGCAGCCGCAAGTGCTCACCAGGCTCCCCCACAGATCCCAATGCCACCCTAAGCAAAGACGAGGCAGCAGTCCACCAGGACGGCAAACCCCGGTACAGCTATGCCACGCTTATCACCTATGCCATCAACTCCTCCCCAGCCAAGAAGATGACCCTCAGTGAGATTTACCGTTGGATCTGCGATAACTTCCCCTATTACAAGAACGCTGGCATCGGTTGGAAGGTGGGACCACTTCTGTAATCTGGGCTTATCTCTAGCTTTTGGCAACCTTTTTCTCTACTTTTGTTTCTTCCTAGAATCTGTTCGGTTGGCCAGGCATGGTGGCTCACGCCTATAATCCTAGCACCTTGGAAAGCAGGGCGGGAGGATTTCTTGAGCCCAGGAGTTCAAGACCAGCTTGGGCAACATAGGAAGACCTCGTCTCTACAAAACAATAGTATAAAATAAAAGAGAAAACACCCTGTCCAGTTCACTCTGGCTTGTCTCAGAGATGTGTGAACTTAAGATCTCGTGTCTTCCACCCCCTGCTTTTTGCCAGAGTTGAACAACTTTTATAAGGTTTATTAGGGACGCTCCAGTTGATGCCCAGTCATTAAGCCTCGTTGTGGGGATGGCGGGACATTGTTGCTCATCCGACCCCCGTACCTTCTAATTCCTCATTTTGCAAATATTTATTGCCACTCCACAGCACGGAAGTCCCTGTGCAAGGCCTGGCATTCCTCCCTGCTGCCTAGAGGTAGAAGTCTTATCAGATTTCCATAGCTTTGTTCCGTACAATCATCATCTTTTGGGAAACTGTTTTCCAAGAAAATAATTTTTTTTTTTTTGAGTTGGAGTCTCACTCTGTCGCCCAGGCTGGAGGGCAGTGGCATGCTCTCGGCTACCGCAGCCTCGACCTGCTGGGCTCTGGCGATCCTTCCGCCTCAGCCTTCCAAGTAGCTGGAACTACAGGCACGCACTACCATGCCCGGTTAATTTTTTGACTTATTGTAGAGATGAGGTCTCGCCAAGTTGCCCGGGTGGGTCTCGAACCTGTGGGCTCAGGCAATCCACTCACCTCAGCCTCCCAAGGCGCGGGATGACAGACTGAGCCACCTAGCCCGGCTCCAAGAAAATAATTTAATGAGTCCTTTACCAACAGCGGGTCCACCCAGCGAGTAATGAGAGGTTAAGTTGTTTGGCTAGAGATGGCAGGCTGACGTTCTCAGTATTTGGGAGCAGTGGCAGTAACCAAGGTCGAGTAGGAATGGGAATTTAGTGTAGTTCTCTCAGGCTGTAAATCACTGTTGGCCTGCAGAGCATATGAGAAGCTGGAGAGTATTGAAAGCATTCCGTTTTCCCTTTGTAAATATGTGGCTGCTGGCTACTGCAAGTCTCACCCCATCCGGCACACTTACACAATATTTCTTTCCTCCAAATGTGACCATTCTATGGGTTATTGAGAAAATGAAGGTGATCTGTGCCTCTGTTTCCCTCATAGTTGATACTATGTTTTAATTTATATAAACAGTTTAAAACATTGTTCTTTTGCCGTCAAGAGGGTGGATTGGGGAACTGGGCAGATGTGATTTTTGAGGCATTCATGTATCTGTTGTCAGTTGAGTGGGAAGGCTGAAAAATTATATAATGAGCTTTTCAGAAACACCTGGTAATCAAATTGATCACCATTACCTCCCATCGACTTGATTTCTACATTTTTATCTCATTGCTTTTGCTGCTGCTTGGTGTGTAAGTCCCAAGATCCGTATAGTTGAGGTGCTAAGTTTGCCCTGATACTTGGACTTTTTTGTGTTTTATGTTCTTTTGTGTCCCTTTGTGTACTGTTGGAAAATTTTCTGTTCTGCACGATGCTCAGATCTAACTTGCCTTTCTGCATCCCCAGAATTCGATTCGGCACAACCTTTCTCTCAACAAGTGTTTTCGGAAGGTGCCTAGACCTCGGGATGATCCTGGGAAGGTGAGATACTGCTGTAAGCATTTAAGGGAGGAGCAGGAAGAAGAGTAAAGTAGACTCCTGTGACTGTTTTAATTACCCGGAAGAGGAAATCTTGTTAATTAGAGAAGCATCTTTATTCTTCCTCAGAGGGAGTGCTTCAATGTCAAGCTTATGGGCCCCACTAGAATGGGTGACTAATGACGGGCTCGGTGACTCAGCCTGTAATCCTGTACCTTTGGGAGGCTGAGGTGAGTGGATTGCCTGAGCCCGTGGGTTCAAGACCCGCCTGGGCAGGAGAGACCTCATCTCTACCATAAATCAAAAAATCA